TCAGACATCGCCATACCACGTTCTTTAAATCTGCATTCTTTAAAAAGCATTGAGCTTCATGGTTTTGCGGACGCCTCAGAAACAGGATTTGCTTGTTTAATTTATTTCAGATGTGTTCATCTTGATGATTCAGTCACCATAAATTTTGTTATGGCAAAGGGTCGTGTCGCTCCATTACGTCGCACCACAATACCTCGTTTAGAGTTATGTGCAGCTCATTTGCTGTCAAAGTTGACATCACATTGCACATCATTGTTTCCCAACATGTTTAATACAAACAACATCTTCTTGTGGTCTGATTCCACAATTGTCTTAACCTGGATCAAAACCCCAGCTTACCAACTTAAAACTTTTTTCGCCAATCGAGTTGCCGCGATTCAAGAAACGCACTCCACTGAAGTGTGGCATCACGTTAACACTAATGACAATCCTGCTGACTGTGGTTCTCGTGGTTTACGAGTCAAACAGCTGGTAGACAATCATATGTGGTGGTCAGGGCCATCATGGCTTTCACGTCCATCTACAGATTGGCAAAAGCAAGAGCATCCAAAAACTGACTTTAATTCTGAAGTTTCGTCCGAATTAAAACCAACACCATTGCCTGTGTTTGTAACTACAGGTATCACTGAATGGCAACCACTCAAATTTAATTCATCGTGGACAAAACTCGTGCGTATAATTGCAATTGTTTTACGATTCAAACACAACTGTTTGAATAAACAGAATCGTATCATAGGTTTCATCACAACTGACGAATTGCGCACATCTACATTAAAGATCTTTCACAGAGTCCAATCAGAAGTCTTCGCCACTGAAAAACAGGAACTTCAAGCTAACCACTGTCCTAACAAACTGAAACCACTCCATCCGTTCATTGATGACAATGACATTATTCGTGTCGGAGGGCGTCTTCAGAATTCTGAACTTCCATACCAGTCAAAACATCCGATATTATTACCTAAATCTCACCACATCACAAATATTTACATAGACTACTGGCACATTACCTACTTGCATGCCGGTCCTTTATTCATCCAATCCATCTTATCTCGTTGTGTATGGATCTTAAACGCACGAAACATCATTCGAAAACGGATCCACAACTGTGTCACATGTTTCCGACACAAACCAACAAACACCATTCTATTGATGGCGTCTTTACCAAAACCCAGAGTTACCCCATCTAAACCATTCTTGCATACTGGAACTGATTTCATGGGACCATTTGATACCAAAATAGCTAACATGAGATTTCTTAAAATTACCAAAACCTATGTCTGTTTGTTCATCTGTATGACTACTAAAGCAGTGCATCTAGAACTTGTAACTGACTTGACAACAGAAGCATTCATCGCAGCGCTCACTAGATTTATTAGTCGTCGAGGAATTTGTTCTCACATCTACTGTGACTGTGGCACCTATTTCAAGAGTGCTGCTAATGAATTAAACCGTATCACACAGCACACCATCGCTTCTTCAGATGCACGTGATAAATTACAAAGCCACTTTGCTCCATCAGACATCAGGTTTCATTTCAATCCTCCTTGTGCCCCTAATTTCGGTGGCCTATGGGAAAGAACAGTTCAAAGCGTTAAACGACACCTAGTTAGAGTTATTGATAAAACCATCCTCACACTTCCTGAAATGATGACATTATTAACGCAGATTGAGGCAATTCTTAATTCAAGACCTCTTACACCTCTCTCGACCGATCCTCAAGAACTAGATGTACTTACTCCAGGACATTTCTTGACAGGTGCACCATTAGTTTCCATCCCTGAACCACGTCTACTCGATGTGTCACCCAATCGACTTTCACGTTGGCAACAAGTGCAACAATTTTCACAACATCTATGGAAACGATGGAGCCTAGAATATTTGCATCATCTCCAGCAACGTCACAAGTGGACAAAATCGACTGCAAACATCAAGATTGGTGATTTAGTTCTCCTGAAAACCTCAACTCTACCATGCCATTGGCCAACCGGCCGTATCAGTGAATTACTTCCTGGGAAAGACAACATTGTCCGTGTGGTAAAAGTCAAGACCACTGATGGAGAATACATTCGCCCAGTGTCCCAAGTCTATCCAATGCCAATGAGTGACACCAACTTTGGTTGAACCAGACGTTCAACGGTGGCCGGCGTTGTTGCGTACTAGTTCATCACTTTTCCATATTTTCATTCAAAATTGATTTCAATATATTATAATTTTATTTCTTCTTTGTTCTGAATACAATTTCCTATTTTTCTTTCCCATCCCAATTTCTTGACAGCTGAAAGTTATTTAATTTAATGTTTATTTACATCATATTTTTGATTATTAAAAAAAAAAAACATTGCATTTCTATCTTCAGTACAATCACTACATATCATTTTTTATTCTCAATTTATTTTATAACTCACATACAATTTTCATGGGATTTAAGCAAATATTACTCATTTTAATTTTAACTACATTATACAATCCATATTGTGAACATCATTGTTAAATTCTACAAGAAAGAAAGACATTTTAAAAGTGATATTTTAATCATCAAGACATGAATGAACTTAAACTTAAACACCTCAAGAAACTATGAATCCATCAAGACGGTTCCACAAATGAACATGAAAATAATGATTGACATTCTTGGTGAGTTTCATCAATATTAAGTTTTTTTTGTTTTTGACAAACTTATTTTCAGAAAAGGAACAATATTGTATATTAAACTGAAAAACTTGTCTTGTTACTTGTTTCTATAATTATTTATGTAAAATATTTAGCTGACAAATCCCAACAATATCAATTTTGAATTGTTTCACTTCTTTGCCTAATTTAGGCTGGTCCTTCGATTAATTTCCTTTATTAATTTTCTTATTTCAACTACCTTTTCCCCACATCTGTGGAATAATACTACCAACTATTTCTTTATCTACTGCATTCAAAAGTCAACAGCTGATCACATGTCTTTGTTTATGTGTCAAATACTGCTCCCATAAGGATTACATTGAAACTTTGAGACCCAGTGGGGCGGATTCCTGAGAGACATTTTTAACGCCATATAGATGTTGGCACTCACCGATATGGTCTTAATCACCATGCAAAATTTGAGAACGATTGATTCAGCCGTCTAGGAGGAGTTTGCGTATTACGAAATGCATAAAAGGCGACGTATAAGAGCTTCGCTCGCTCCGCTCGATAATTATCCACCACTTCAAATAAAGAATAGTTTAAATTTAAAGCAGTTTAGCAAAGCAACGATAATTTGGCTTTCTTCTCAGCAGGTATGCCTAACGGTCACGGAGAAAATACAAAAATAGTGTAATTTAAAATTCTCATGTTATTCTTATGGAGAAAATGAAAACTGTTGTAGTTTACTTGTTTATGGATATGTATTGATAAAATTGGCGAATTTATTTATTTCATCCTATAGTATTGACGTATGGTAAAAAACCCTTTTTACCTTCTCCGTAGCAGCAAACCTAAGCACTCGTTAAATCTAATGTTATTTAAATAGGGAATAAATATGTCTTATTTATGGAAATACTAGCAGAGTACCCGTCCTTCGTACGGGGTTGGCATATTGACGGTATACTAATGGTATTACACATCTACCATAGCCAAAATGTTCTACCACTTTACCTAAACAATAAAGAAAAAGAAAATATTACGAATTAACAAAAAATCACAAATTATTCATGACATTAAAAACATATGTCCCCAGGATTGCCTTTTATGACTAAAATGGTAGGAACGCATCTTGTCAGACAATCCGTTTGTACACAAAACACGAAACGATAACAGATAGGCCTATCAATTCACGCGTGTATATTGCCTCGGGCAGGACTGGAAGTAAACTGAATCAGGTTATGACGGAAAGACGTGGTCTCTGGATTGTCGTCTGCGTTATCAAAAGCTGATATTAGACTAATTGTAGTGACGGAGGAAAGTATGTTGAAAATATAATGGGATTCATACTTGAGTTTTCCATTCAAAACTATTGACAATAATAACCAATTTATATGCTGGATATAAATGATGGTCTTGAAATTCTACAGTACTGCACGAAAGGAAATTTATTAAATACTTTGAGGAGTTTGAAATATATGAATACATAAAACTGGGGACAGCACAAAATTTTTGAGTGAAAACACTCAATTAATTATGAAACCCATTATATTTTCAATACTCTTCTCAGTCACTTCAATAGTCCAATATCAGCTGTTGAAAACGCAGACGACAATCCAGAGACCACGTCGGTCCGTCATAACCTGAACCCGATTCAGTTTACTTCCAGTCTTGCCGACGGCAATGTACACGCGTGAATTGATAGGCCTATCTGTAATCGTTTTGTGTTTTGTGTTAAATGTTTGTAACGTATTCTGACGACACCTCCAGAAGGGGATCTTTTGTAAATCCTGACTATGGTGGAGTTAAAGAACCAACAAAACATATGTAGCATGTAAAATTCGACACTGGCATGTTAAGGATTGTCTGACAAGGTGCTTTACCATTCTTAGAAGCAATCTTAATTACGAACGGCAAAATGTTGTTGGTGTTGATAGTGAGCTACTTTTAGTGAGAAACACTTTTTCGGGCTGCTTGTACAAAATTATACAGCCATTATGACAGCTAACAAAAATTTAAATTCCCCCCAAAAATTCCTTGCGCCACAGTACCCCCCCTCTGGGCACCCCTGCTAGAATTCGAGCAACATGTACACTGGTCTTACAATTAAAAGACTAAATCCTCAATTGAAAATTATTTTTAGACAACTAGGAATCCATTTAGAGACAATCAATAGTGTGCAGGAGTGTCTCAAGCAAATTATTCAACAAAACTCTACTTTGTATGAAAACAATAAACTGCTACTAAACTTATATATCAATTTTCTTTTCGTCAATATAAAATTGGTGGAGAAAACTATAACCATAAGCAACAATTTTTTACCAACGTTTAAGTGCTAACATTATTGTGACTGTAATTTACCAAATTTACAACCTGGCCTTTCAATGTACCTTGGCAGTTGTTATGTTAATGATCGGCTCTGCCAGATTAACTTTGATGATGGTCCCTGGTTTGTATTGCTCTTTCAACTTGGCTCCCTCAGTCTCTGTGTTAGGCTTGGAAAGCTGTTGTTTAAGAACAGTCATAACCTTTTTTTGCATGTTTAGATACCTATTCCGTAACTGTCTCCATTCCTTCCTGCAACAGTAATTGAAATAAATAACTGCACAGGGGCAGGAGGGGGATTATGAGATAATTTTGTTGTGAAAAAACATTGGAAAAGTATTGTAAAATTATAATGCAAAAGTAAGAAACTATTGCAAAATCTATTAAATTTAATATCAATATAAAATTGCTTAAGAACTCTTGTCTGCAATAGTTCAGTATGATTTTTTTTCTGGTATTATAATTATGAGTTACTGATTTTTTTATACATAAATTAAGTATATGTTAAGCACTTAACGTTACAAGGACAATTGTGTTCAATCATAAAACCTCTTACAGTTAAAAATGGTTACAATTTTTCATATTACAGTAGGCCTAATTACTTTCAGGACATTCAGCATGGCAAAGTAATGCTAGACAAAATTGTTGATGTTTTGAATGAGAGCCTCAGCGGGGTGGATAGTTTTTTTATAAATTGAATTTATATATTGATATTATATTGGCAACATTAGTTGAAATAAATAACTGCACAGGGGCAGGAAGGGGGTTGTGGCCTTATTTTGTTATGAAAAGAGAAAGACATAGGAAAACAAAAAATATTGTAAAATTATAATGCAAAAGTAAGAAAACAAACTTAATTATTACAGACAAGCTTATGTTCAAAATATGGAGAAACTCTTACAGTAAAACTCAAATTAATTACTTGAGGTTGAAGGGCAAGAAAGCTAATTATAATATCATTATCATTAGCGTTCATTAGCAACAGAACTGTGTTGAATCGAATCGTAGTTTATAAACAGAAAAATGTATCAAGTGATTGTTTATTGTAAACTGTTGCATTAAACAAGTAAATGAAAATGTACGATTGAAAATTGTGTCCAAAGAACATGAAACAAGAAACAAGCTAGAACAGAAATCAGAAAATTGAAATTAGTCTTACTTGGAGAGAACTCTAAGGCCAAGTGAACTAGCTGTTACTTTATCTTTCTTTAGCTTTATATTAGTCTTACTTCGAGAGAACTCTAAGGCCAAGTGAACTAGCTGTTACTTTATCTTTCTTTAGCTTTATATTAGTCTTACTTGGAGAGAACTCTAAGGCCAAGTGAACTAGCTGTTACTTTATCTTTCTTCAGCTTTATATTAGTCTTACTTGGAGAGAACTCTAAGGCCAAGTGAACTAGCTGTTACTTTATCTTTCTTTAGCTTTATATTAGTCTTACTTGGAGAGAACTCTAAGGCCAAGTGAACTAGCTGTTACTTTATCTTTTTTTAGCTTTTTCTTTCTTTTTCTTTTCTTCTGTAGCTTTGTCGAATTAGCTTCTGTTACCTCTTCAGTTTCCTCTTCTGGTACCGATGAATCCTCTTTTTTTTTTGTACCTGTAGTGAAAATTATTTTGAAACGTTAAATTTGGTTGTGCACAAACACATGAAGGTCCACCGTCACTTCAATCTAAAAGTAAACAATGAATACCATAATAATGTGCTCCTATGATTTCATTAGTTCAGTGATATATTTTATAATTTTGCGATTATTATTATAGATTTGAATGTTGTTGACACAAGTTGTATTTTCAAAGTTGGTTTTAACTGGTCTCAGTATACAAAACTAGGTGGTGTTCGCAGTCACGTTCAAAACATTTGAGTGTAGTCATCAGGGCATGGCCATCATATAGCTATTGACCCTCACAATCAAGTTTCAAAATCATTATACCTACCTTTTCAGATAGGGAAACATTTGTGTAGGGATGAACTTTTAAGGTAATAAAAATAGTTTCAAAACTATTTTCCGGTGAAGAGAAAAATGTTGTTAATAGCACAGATATGTTATTAAATGGATTTTTTGAGACCTGAAGTTACATTTTAAGTTAAAAACCTATGGGATGGTATATTTTCTGTTTTAGCCAATTTCCCATAAAGGGAATCGAGCTATTTAACGTAGGTCTCATGGTAAGACCTAGACCCGGGACCGATTTACTAATTTTTTCAGGTCACAGAGCCCAAAACAACCTCCTCATGTACATTTCATTAGCAGCTAATGAGCTTGATAACTTGCTGATCATAGTATATATAATTGCACTAGTACAACAAATACAACCCAAGGGAGGTAATTTAACCCTCTAATTGTCGCCCACCCCATATTGGGCGGGTCTTCTTATGCGTATAAGTGTCGCCCACCCAGGGCTGCCGAGAGAAATCCTGGGCCCCTGTGCAATTTCCAACTTGCCCCCCCCCCACCCATTACTACGAGAGTAATGCTCTTAATTTGCTACACACAGAAAAGCTTTCTATATGTATATTTATTATTATTAGCTGACTCTTTAAGAGATTTACAAAATTCCTTTGGCTATTAACTTAGCCCACATTGAACTCTTAAGTTATTTCTTAATACAGTACACGTGATTAACCGAGGTTATTGGGACCGAGACTAACTCGGTTACCAAGAATCTCGGATAATACAGAGGTTGCATCGATTTTGAGGTTAGGGTTACGGTACCTTATTATGAGGTCAAATGTGTTTTTCAACAACACACATAGCAAATGAAAAATTATAATATGCAATTTTTAAGCAACCTTTTTTTCAAAATAGGCCTAAGTTAAATGTAGAATTGTTAAAGAAAAAAGTAATACAAAAAACAAAAAACATTTTCAAAACTTCTATAACACGTTCGCTGCTGACGACTCCGATCGGAGTACTGGCACAGCGTGAGTAGGACTCCGGTCGAAGTCACGGTGCAGTGTTATACAAGATGGTCTACTGTGACCTCCACATTTATCGGAGATCAACTAAACTATGTCAGCATGTTATGCAGGTCCTGTACTTTAATTTGGTGTAGGTTGGTAGTAAAATTTCCCGTAAAATCCCGTCTGGCAATGCTTTTTGTCTCGTTTTCAGGGATTTTCTCTCTTTCGAGCCACATTACAAAGACATTGGCTACGGATCCAGGCAGTGCTGTTATCTGTGAGTTTTTCAGTGAACTACTTCCACTCTCGAGGTAACACAGCACCATTACCACCGCTGTTTTGCCGCTGTCAAGACTGAAATATTTTATTTATATTTATTTGCTATTGCGTTTGCTGATTCACTGACGCGCCGAAGCTGCGTCGCAATTTCCAACCGTACTGCCAAAGGGATTCTCGCAACGAACGTGTTAACCGTCTTGAAAACATTAGGTTAAACACAGTACTATTAGATATATACATAAAATAAACCACTACATTATTTAAAATAAAACTAAGGTGTAACTTTCGTTTAAAATCTGCTTAAAATCACATTTCCTTCAAGTTTGACCTGATTTACAACTAGACCTTGACACAATCATGTCTACATTAAAACATTGTAATGAAGAAGACTGACACTCATTTCTGTATTTTTTTGCCTCCTGATCACAAATTTAAATTAATCTAGAGGTTAAAATACCTTTAATCCGTCAGTGTGATCAAATGTCATCACAATGAAGACTGACACTGCTATGTCATGTTCTGCAGACGTCTTGTCCAGTCCAGTTTGAGAAACATAGGTACAATAATAAAGTAATTATTGTTTTCCTATTGAAAATAAAAATATGCCTACGGTATTTAAGCCAAAAACGACCTCAGATAACCCAGGGGCTCGGATAACCGGGGCTCGGATAATCGGGAGTTTACTGAAGATAAGATTGGTGGGCCACAATGGAACGTGGGCCACAGTGGAACAACTATATTTTTTTGTAATTAGCTACTCCGCCAACTGCTGCACTCTTTGAGTGAACTCCAAAACTGTTTGTCCACCCATAGTTCATTGGTGCAAATGGCAGCCTCCATCTAAGGAAGAGATATTATTCATATTATGATTTTGACATCTTGAAATAATTTTTCCAGGTTATTTCTTCACAACTTTAGCTTCTATTTGCAGTTATTAGAGATAAGTGTCACATACCAGAATAAAGATCAACTCTTTCCAAAACTTTTAGACTAGTTAGCATATTTGTACAAAGTTCTGAAATGGAATTAGGGTTAGTTTTTCTGATCAAATAGACATGGGCCACAATGAAACAGTTGATGCTGGGCCACAATGGAACTGTTCCACTGTGACCCAATATCATGTATTTCATTGTAAAAAAGATATTACCTATTATATGTCATTAATTTATTAGTTTGAAACCCAATTATGGGGGTTTTCCCATTAAATTATCCTATTTGGAAATTTATCAATAGCCAAAGAGTCCTGAAATGGCTGTTCTTTTATAGATCAATATGTCAAGAGGAAGAAAGTGAATTTTTACTTGCTTACCGTTAACTAATTACAAGTAGAACCATTTGAAAATGTTAGTTTTTACATGTATTTTATTTGAGGTTAATAAACAAGATTTATTGTACAGTATTTTTGCATTTTAATTCATTGTTCCAATGTGGCCCTATGGAACACCTACGTAGGTTTTGTAAAACAGTCCATAAAAATCAGTTGGTTTCCATTTCATTATCAATTTAAAAATATATGTAATGTATGTGGGAAAGGTTGTTCTCTAAGTACATTTATTCTCAACTTTCAGTCTACATAATGATATTTCCATTTTTGAATCTTCATTAAATTTTCTATCAGAAAACGAATAATATGCTACAGTGAAACCCATTTAAAACCTTGTACATTCGACTTAAATAACAAATTTTGGAAAATCAATAAAAAGGGCACTGCAGCCATCTTATCTGGCGTATCAGATGTCATGTTGATTGGAGATGCAAACCAAATCCCTTACATAAATGTGACTAAATATTTAGAAACACAATACATCACCAAAATAGCCACCCTTACTCACGAGATGTTTCATTCACTCCAAGATCGTTCACTCCTAAAAGTAATTTTACAAATTATTTGCCCGTTTGTTCGCTCAACTATTCATTCAATCCAACGGGTACAGTCAGCTCTAGAAGTAGACTAACTAGTATAAAATATTAATTTTGAATTTTACTGTACAGTAGATCGAATGCACATTGGAGTGAACGATCAGTATTATATAAATAATGCAGTATATGCATCAAGAACATGTTTTTGATGTGTATATATCTAATATAATCATCAGACGTAACCCGTATTTAAGATTCTTAAGGTGAAGCTTTAAATACTAGACCTGCCATGTATTTTAAAATTTGTTTGGTAGAAATAATCTAAATTACATATGATCAGTATCTTTGTAATCACAACTAACGTGTGTATTTATAAATATCACTACTTTTACGTGGCATTCAATGCACTACAACTAGATTGGGCTATACTAGAATCCAGGATTAGATTTTACAAATTTATTTGGTATATACTTAATTTTACAGATACCTTTTGCACGCAACTTTCCGTTCTTAATTAATGAGTGCAGTTAATGAAAAAATGACTAATTTTATGTTTAACGCAATATTTATCCCCTTAGACACTGACATAACATGTCACATGTTGCATATCATTTTAAAGCTTAAAATGTGGAGATGTTTTTGGGTCGCCGGAATTCTACCCTCGGATATTCATCCCCATGAAAAAACGCCTACGTCATTTTGACGTCACGAGGGGCGGGGCCTATACACGGTCGAGAAACAGCCCGTGACTGAAAATCTACCCCCGGACTTCTACCCCCAGACATCTACCCCCGGAGATCTACCCCCAGACCTCTACCCCCGGACATCTACCCCCAGAAATCTACCCCCGGACATCTACCCCGGAAATCTACCCCCCGTGGTCAACTCTGCCACGTATCGGCCAATATTCATTGTTGTAATTGATTTGATTAATTGCTTTATGTAAATCAATGGCTCTTCGGTTAATCATTACCCTCTAATATCTAGTATTAAGCATGTGATATGTCATTGTCTTGTTTAACATTATACCTATGTCTTCCTAATAAAATAAGCTGTAACAGCCCTTTTTCACCCGAACTACTTCACCGATTTTTATGTTTGAGGTGTAATTTTGAATCTTAAGATCCAGCGCAACGCATAATTGTAATTAAAACAATATTTTGATAAAGGGCTTTAAAAGTTTGACCCTTAAGCATTTGATTTATTTCCAGACAGTTATTTAAATGGTTGACCAACTCTCACATACAGTAACAGCTAACGGCGCATGCACGAGCGCAGATCGTGAAATTTAATACATATCATTGAAGGAGGTTATTTTCTGATTACTAGAGGTAAAAATGCAATGCAATTAAATGTTGATAAAAAGCCTGCCACTGGTTGATCAATAAATCTATACTTATTTAATACGCAAGCAGGTTTTTTGTGACAATTACTCCTCCGAAACTACTGAACCAATTGACATGTTTTTGGTGTCATTGGAAAGAGCGTAACGTGAAGTTGTGCAGGAAACTTTCTTTTTAAGGAAATAATTAGAGAGTGAGGCCCTGGAGCCCTTT